TATATATATATATATATATATATATATATATATCACTTTTTTTTCAGCCTGTAAATTTGATTTTGTCCAACCAAAATATAAAACGTGTTTTAAAATATTGGATTTCAAACTTCTTTGTGTTTTTGTTGTGTAAAGTGTGCACTGGCTTGTGTCTTTGCTCGGACACCTGACAGCGTGAGTGTGTTTGTTTCTAATCCAAATGATGAATGGCCATCTTCGATCTCCCAGCTGTTGAGCCCATTTGTCCGAGCCCCCGTGGCTTTGTCAGCAGAAACAAATGATCTATCAGCACGCACACCGTTCGGAAGCCTCGTCAGTGGTGAGTATGATGGATTGGACCTGAGGTGAGTCTCGTCTCCATTATTAATAGGCAGCAGCATGAAATATTAACAGACTCAAGCTAAATACTGAGGTTAGAAGGACAACAAAAGAGATGTTTGAAATGTAAGAGGTCATACCTGATGCTTGATTGCACAAATGAATAAGCAAGCGCTCACATGAGAATCTGAACTATGTCACATATTAGTATCAAATGTTTTCTGCTCCAAATGGAAATTCCCACCATCTTTCATGCATAAAAAAACCCTCACATACACACCTAAAAGTATCTCCCTCTTTCTCCTGCTGTCACTCCAACCCACATCCTGTTGTGGTTCTTGTTCTCTCCTTTGATACCTGAGAACCACTAACTTCTGCAGACAGACAAGGTTCACCTTTGTCTTTGCCACACTGCACGAGTGTTTGTCATTTTGTACAGCAGTGTGTGCTTCACCATAATACATGCTCAGCTTCGTCAAGAATTTAATGCACTTTAAACAGCAGAGGTTTCAAACATCTGCAGTTTAGATTAGACGCAGAGGGCTTGCTGTGTGTATACATGTGCATGTGTGCGTGTATTGACACAGAGCTGCAGAACAATCAATACTAATGAATTCCTATAGACACCTCAAGTTGATCTGGGAACCAGGGAGGATGGGAGGGAAAGAAGTCAGATGATGACATGAAAGGAGAGAAATTGTGCATAATTTACCGTTAATAAGTGACCAATTAATGCCTCGTTGATTAATTAGACGCAAGTTGTTCCGTCTAGTAATAAAGTCAAATTTGTAACAAAATGTTGAAACTCAAATTGGTAAAAATGTGTGTCACAATTAAAAAGTTTTCATGCAAAAACAAATGTGCTGACCATCCAAAGAGTCTTTGGTATTCTAAAGTGAACAGGACAAATTAAAAATGCTGAAACTGACTTCTAAATTCAACTGAGCTGAATTAAGTAAAAGAAGCGGAACAAATGATAAATTGGACAAAACAAAAGTTTGAAACAATCAAAACAACGGGAAACTAAAATGACCAGAACTGTCGCTATAAAAGCTAAACTGAAAAACAATAGCTTAAAAACAAGCAGAAGATCATCAGTTAAAACCAGGAAACTGTTGTTTAAGCAAGCAGAACTTTAGCTAAGAGCTAAAATGAAAAAAATAAAAGTGCAACTAAAATGCTAAAATTGCCAAACAGTAACTACAAAATTAAATCAGAACAAAAATAAAAAATAAAACCTATAAGTGACATGAAAATGTAACAATAGTCATAGAAAACTGGTATAAACAAGTCAAATAATTTGAAATTATTAACTTCAGTTGAGTACGATATATAACTAAATTGCTCAGGGGCCACAGTTACTGAAAGCCAAGAGCTCAGGGGCCGAACATCCAGCAGTTATTGTCATTAAGTAGTTTGTTTAGTTTAAAATCTAGTTTTATTTAAAAATGAACCCATTGGTGGGCCAGACTGAGCTCACCCAGAAGTTGATTAGTTGTAATATAGATTTTTTAAACCTTTTTATTTCATTTTATTAAGAAAATAAATTTGATACCCTGAAATTATTCCAAAGTGAACTCCAATCCAGTGAAGTTATGTTTTGCTGCCATCTGTTGTCCAGGGAGCATCATAGATCACATAGATCAAAGCTATAAATGTAGCCTTATGAAGTGGATTTAGGCTGTTCTATTTAAAAAAAAAAAACCGTCATATTATTATATATAATTAGTTTTTCAAATTATGCTGCACCCTGTTATTACTTCTAGAAAAAAAAGAAGTCAAAAGACAGAAATTTTGTTATATTTGTTTTATTGAATTTACAATACTTGTACGCTTTCATAGAGTTAATGAAATACAATTTTTGGTGTCGTTATGAGAAGCCGACATGGAAATCTCATGTAAATTACTTTAAAAAAATAAAATAAAATAAAAAAACAGTTTCATTACTATGTAAAGTATAAAAAAATAATGACAAAGCTTTGTATATATTGTATAATACAATGATTGTTTCATATTTAATCTTAGGGAAAGACATGTAAAACAATTACAAATCCTATTTTTATTTTACAAAAAAAAAAAAATATATATATATAGGATTATTAGTAGGAAGTGCTATGGTCCCCCATATATATTATTTCATCAGTTGAAATTGTTAAAATGTTACGATTTGGTTGAATATAGTATTTTACAAGTCATGTATAAAGCTCATAAAAAATATTACCCCCAAATATTCAATTAAAATTTGTTTAAAAAAAAAATAAAGCGTCATTATAACCTTAAGAAAATGGAAATATTTGTAAAACCTCCATTTGGAACTAGTCTGAAGGAGCTGCGTTGTAATTCAGGGAATAGGATTATGGAATTGACTTGATATCACCATAACATTTTCTAAAACAATTTCAGGTCTCTCTTGTAAATGAGTCCTTGAGGCTCAATGGGATTATCCTGTTTAAATAAAGGTTGAATGAATATGTTTTAAATGATTAAGATAAAGTTGTTGGAATGGTGCCAGATGAAGATGTATTTTTGTTGTTGTTTTCAATTTGGAGATTGTTCAAGCATAGGTTGTTGTTTATTTTGTAGTTATTTCATTTTTTTTTTATAAGGGGCAGCTATTATAATAATTTTTTTCTTCTTCCTGCACCCTTTTCATTCAATGTTTTTTTGTTGTTGATGAATTTGTTTTGTTTATTTTGTTTCTTTTAACTGAGTGAGTGAATGAATGAATGAATAACTAAATACATAAATAAATAAACGTACTAGTTCCTCTCGAGCGCATGCCTGGTTGCGCGTGACGTCATCGGCGCAATCAGCGCTCATTTGACGCACCTGCGATGGCGCTGCTCGTTAAAACCTTGCAGAGACAACGCCAAGAAGTTTTACAACAATGCGAGTCGAGCGTCAACCCAACATGTCCAGCAAGAAGGCAGCTGATGAGCGCATCTCCAAGTTCAAAAACAAGGGGAAATATCCGGCGGTTAGTGGACAGACCTGGACATTCATACATGTTTAGTTTTCTCTTTGAAGAACTGTAGCGTTAACTCTTGCAGAAACTTCGAGAGAAGAGGATCAGCGAGTGCGTGGAGCTGCGCAAAGCTCACAAAAACGAAAATCTTCTGAAGAGGAGGAGGATCACGCTGTCCTCTCTGCCGGACGAGGAGGCGCTTTCACCTCATGGAGACTCTGTGAGTTCACTCATCTTTTAGATAACCGAGTGAAGTTGGACCGCTGCTGACAGCGGGGGGTCTTTCAGGTGGGCTTCGGGGTCGAGGAGATCATCACGGCCGTGAAGAGCCAGAGCATCGCAGCCCAGATTCAAGGCTGTCAGGCAGCCAGGTAAGGGTTTTTATTTGTTTGACAGGTAAATGCGCACAAAGTGTCTCCTGCAGGATTTGAACTCTGCCTTTTCATAATCAAGCACACATTCAACATTTTTTTTTTTTTTTTTTTTTTTTTTTTTATCCATTTGGGTGGAATTGTATGACTTCTGATCTCTTCTGTCAGGAAGCGGTTTTCCAAAAGTTGTGATGCCCCTCTGAAGGAGATGATTGATGCTGGCCTGCTGTCACACTTTGTGTCCTTTCTGTCCATGGATGAAGAGCCAGCTCTGCAGTTTGAAGCAGCCTGGGTTCTCACCAACATCGCCTCTGGAACATCTTGGCACACGCAGCAGGTGTCTGAAGCATGGCTGTATGTGATCTGTGGATATGGAAGTTAGTCAGACATTGCATTTTATTGGTTTCTTGCCGCAGGTGGTGGAACATGGAGCTGTAGCTGCTTTCATCAACCTGCTGGCTTCACCCATGCTGCACATCAGTGAACAGGCCATCTGGGCTCTGGGAAATATTGCAGGTAAAAATGTATATGCAGGTGCTGGTCAAAAAATTAAAACAATTTTTTTTTTTTTTTTTAAACCCCCCCCCCCCCCCCCCCATTTCAGTAATTCCATTCAAAATTTCTTTCTTTTATTTAATTTTTTAATTTTTTTTATATAGACATTTTGGCCAAATAAAGTGAGCATGTACAGCACTGGGTACTTAGTTGGGCTCCTTTTTTTGCCTGGATTACTGCAGCAATGCGGCGTGGCCTGGGGTCGATCAGTCTGTGGTAGGGGTTGAACAACTACATAATTTTTAAACTTGAAATTAACATGAGAAACTAGAGTAGAACTCAAATAGTTGATCTAGGATCTCAAGATGAGAAAAATATAATAAAACTGCAAAACGTCATTATTTACCAAAAAAGACTAACAAAAACATTAAAAGCATTTATGCTCCTACCATTTATCATACTGCAAATAAGTCGCAGGAAAACCAAAACAATTTAATTTAATTTAATTTTTAATTTTTATTTATTAATAAGCTGCAAAAGTGAAAAGTAATGTGCAGTACGTCAAAAACAAAACTAAAAACAGTGGGGTGGATGACTACCCCGCACCACTGCCAGCTGTGGTGCACATTAGGTTTAGTTCAAAATACTTTTTTTTTTTTTTTTTTTAAATGGGTTTAGAGATTAATATATTTTGCTTTTAGTATACATATATACATCTGCATTTCTACCAGTTTGCCAGGACTGGGCCTGCTCTGCTCAGTCCATCTGCTGTAGCTTCTAATAGTAGCCCGGTTCAGATCACGTGACACTGACGTCGCTGCGAATACTAGACATGAAATTTAAAAACTCTATAGATGTCCTAGGAATCGAACTGTCGCTTGCACGAGTAATCTGTTAAAGCCATAGTCTGTGGCACTGCTCAGGGGTTGAGAGCCCAGGTTGCTCTGATTGTGACCTACAGCTCTTCTGAATTATTGGGTCTGGTATCGCATCTTCCTCTTCAGTACTCCATAGATTTTTCTATGGGGTTAAGGTCGGACAAGTTTGCTGGCCAATTAAAAACGGGAACACCATGGTCCTTAAACCAGGTACTGGTAGCTTTGGAGCTGTGTGCAGGTGCCAAGTCTCGTTGCAGAATGAAATCTGAATCTCCATAAAGACTAAAGAAGTCTTTAAAATGAAAGATGAAACATTTTTTACAATTTATAAATATATTTTTTTTTAATTTTACTACCTGTATTGAGTGCATCTGGAGATCTCCATAAAATTGGTCAGCAGCAGGAAGCATTAAGTGCTCTAAACTTCCTGGCAGATGGCTACATTGACCTTGGCCCTCAGAAAACACAGTGGTCCAACAGATGGCATGGCACCAAACCATCACTGACTGTAGAACCTTAACAATAAACCTCAAGCAACGTGGATTCTGTGCCCCTCTTCTGCCAGGCTCTAGGACCTTGATTTCCAAAGGAAATTTAAAATTTACTTTCAATAAACAAGATAACTTGGGACCACAGCAGTCCCAGGTGAGACGCTTGATTAGTGGTGTCGTTCTGTGTCGAGGCGTCGAAGCGTGTCGAGTAATCCAGGAGGACTTGTGTGGAGCGTGTATTGATATGACTCGTGACGCTCCAAGCCTCGCTAGCAGGGTCATACCACTGACTATTCAGGAAATGGCTCGTTTGCATGCACGAGAGTCTAAATATAAAGGGCAGACAGAAAAATCCATCATTATAAAGACTGACTAAGATCACTTGCAGATCAAATTTAGACAATTTGCGGTCCTCACAAACATGCTCCCCCCCCCCCCCCCACACACACACCCACCACCACATCATTCCCTTTGCCCCTCTATTAAATGTGCCTGGACAGAGCTCTGAACAGCCAGCCTCTTCAGTAATGACTTTGTCTTGTCCAAAAGATGACCATTGACCCTTGCACAAGGAGGGCAAATGTAAAGTCAGCAGTCTTCCCCATGATTGTGTAGCCTACAGAACTATAGACGGAGACCATTTGAAGGCCTTTGCAGGTGTTGAGTTAATTAGCTGATTAGTGTGGCACCAGGTATCTAAAATGAACCTTTTCACGATGTTCTAATTTTCTGATACTGAATTTGGGGTTTTGATTAGTTGTCAGTTATAATCATCACCATTAGAATCATTTAAAATGTATCGGTCTGTAATGAATGAATAGAATATAATTCTTTCATTTTTTTTATAAAATCACTGCAATAAATAAACTTTCATGATATTCTGACTTTGTCTATAAAAGATGCATGATTACATTCTCCTGTCATGAACAACCTCTTTTCCAGGCGATGGTCCAACTTATCGAGACGTTCTCATTGAATGCAACATCATCCCAGCACTGTTGGTTCACATCTCTCCAGACACTCCAGTGAGTTGGCGTTCTGTTTAAAACGGCTCAGATGTGCACTCAAGTTAAATGGTTCAAAGAGTGCATTTAACTATTTAACCAGGAAGTCTACAAACTAACTACACAATGACGCATAAGTTCCAAGGATCAAAACTGATGTCAAAACTCTAACAAAATGAGCCACAATTCACTGCACAAATGCTATCTTAATACTTGCACTCTTGGGTGACGGGAGGCGTAAGAACTTCTCCCCAAATGCCAAAGCATTGAGCTACTGTATGTGGCTTAAAGATTCTTTCCTGTCCAAGGTGTAAAGTTATTTGGAGTTCACTTTATTTTTTTTCCCTGAATTTTTTGAACAAAGTCAACTTGAGGATAGGAGTTTAACAATGTTTGAAAGTAATATTTTACATTAGTTTTTAAATAACGTTTTCTCCTTTGGTGTAAAGTAGGGGTGTCCAGTCCTGAGCTTTGAGGGCCACTATTGTGCATGGGTTTTTTTTTTTTCTTTCTTTTTTTTTTTTTTTTTTTTTTTTTTCCCCCCCTTCTCTCAAACACCTGATTTTAAATGAAGGCAGTTATCAGGCTTCTGCAAAATTCAAGTAATTTAACCATTGAATCTGGTGTTAAAGCAGAGAAATGAGTGAAACGTGCAGGATGGTGGCTCTCAAGCACCAGGATTGGAAACTCCTGGTTTACAGGATCAAGAAACCAGAATATTGCATAGAATCAGAATATTATGTACACGTTGTGTACTATGCAATGAATCTATTTTATGCAATTAAGTGAAACATGCATACAAGCATTTTAGTGTCAGTCTGTAATCACTGAACAAAATATGAATTCCTGAAACTGGCCAAATATGGCTGTGTAGTTCTGAAATCTAATGGTATGGGAAGTATCAGTGATATGATGTAATGCCAATATATAAATAGAAATTTATGTAGTTCCCGTACTGTTAATTTTTTTTTTGGGGGTGGAGTTTCAAAACCTGAAGTTCAGTTTTTGGCAATTCGAAACTTGAGCTGAGCAGAAGTGACTTTGGCTAAAGTGATTAACTTATTTTTAGTGTGGTATTGAGTGTAATTTTGGAGCCTGTTAGAAGTAGCCTTCATTTCCCATCAGTGGTGCAATGGTTTCGACACCCCCTCCAATGTTGTGGCCACTTGTCTCAAAGCACATTGCTAGAGACCACTGGGCTTTTTGTCACTTCCTCTTATGTGCACACGTACTCTCCAAAGACGAATGGAAACCTGTGGGATTCTCAAGTGTTGAATTTGTTGAAACGGACTCTAATTGCAGGTTGGGTACTTGCGCAACCTGACATGGACATTGTCTAATCTCTGCCGATACAAAGACCCGTATCCACCTTTGTCTGCAGTCCACCAGGTGTGTTGTGTATTTATGAAGTGAGGGGTTTCAATTTTCAGCCAGAAATGTTGTACTAACAAAATGGTGCCCCTGTCAATTTCAGCTGCTTCCTCCTTTGATCCAGCTGCTCCATCTCAGTGACAAGGACATCTTGTGTGATGCATGCTGGGCGTTCTCTTACCTGACGGGTAGCAGCAACGATCGCATTGAAGTTGTTGTAAAAACTGGCATTGTTCCTCGACTGGTGGAGCTCATGAGCCACAAAGAGTTTTGTGTTCTGGTACGATAATTGTACAATAACTTCACATACTTGAGAACTGGAGATTTTTCACTGAGATGCAAATGTTGGAAGCTAGTTGACTCAAATTTGCAAGATTAATGCACAAATCTTCAGTTTCACAGAACTGTGTCCAAGCCTTGTGACAGTTTTTAATCAGCCAGTATTTGAAAATTGTGTGCATGGCTTGAAAAACTTTTTTTTTTTTTTTTGTGGTGTAGGTTCCACTTGTAATGTTCTAATCTGACTTCCAGATTCCAGCTCTCCGTGCAATTGGAAACGTTGTGAGTGGTTCAGATATGCACACTCAGACAGCAATCAATGCAGGAGTTCTCAACATCTTGCCCCAGTTGCTCAGGCACAATAAACCCAACGTGCAGAAGGAAGCAACATGGGCTCTGTCAAACATCGCTGCAGGACACTGTAAACAAATCCAGCAGCTCATCACCTGTGGTTTGCTTCCTCCTCTTGTGGAAGTGCTGAGGAATGTAAGTAAAGTTTGCTCCTGAAATGGCTTGGCAAAACTGTTACCAATCCAAGCTGAGTAGTTTACAAATTGTGTGGGTTTTTTATTTTGGAGACAGGGAGACTTCAAGACTCAAAGGGAAGCAGTGTGGGCAGTGACCAACATCACCAGTGGGGGAACTGCAGAGCAGATGGTCCAGTTGGTGCAGAGTGGAGCCCTGGAAGCTATAATAAACCTGCTGCAAGTCAAAGATGCCAAAGTCATTTTAATCATTCTGGAAGCTATAAACAATATGTTCAAGGTGAGAAACTTTCAATTATAAAAAAATATTTGCCCAATATCAAAACAAAATAAATTGTAAAATTAAAGTCATTCCTGAAGGCTGCAAAGAAACTTGGTGAGTCTGAGTCGGAGAAACTAAGTGCGTTGATTGAAGAGCTGGGAGGACTGGAACGGATCGAGATTCTGCAGAACCATGAAAATAACGCGGTGTACCAGACTGCACTAAACCTGATGGAGGAACACTTCAGTCTTGTGAGTCCATTTACACTTTTTTTTTTTTTTTTTTTTTTTTTTACAAACTTTAACTTTCATTGTATTGATTACTCAAAAGTATAATGTGTCTGCAGTCATGAAATCTACAGATTTTATTTATTTTTTCCTAGGGTGACCGTGATGGAGTCCAGGTCAACTCTAGCCAAAACTCGTTTTTGTTTCAGACCTGTACATTCAGATTTTAAACTTGTAATCTCTTTGTTTTTAGTTCATGTGATGCTTGATACTAGTGTGAATTTTAGTGACTGCTGTATACTGTAAATGTACTTTTTTTTTTTTATATACACTTGACTAATAAATATGTACTTTTTATACACTTAACTAATATAAATAACGTGTTTGCTATGAACTTTTATACTTGTAAGTCATGTCTTATCTGAGGAAAATGAGTTTGTAGGTTTATGTTTGTAGAAACATGTAGGCCAAAATGCTCAGTGGGAGGGGAAAACTGTTCCTGCAATACTTGTGCTGTTTCGCCACTACATGCACACCCATCGTCCCACCCCAGAAACATTCATGCATTTATCCACAAGTACAAAGATGTTTAACAAACTGTTAAAATGCACAAATGCAGGAAATAACATCTTCTAAATACCTGCCATTTGCATTCTGGCATCGATCACTTAACAAATTAAGCTTTGTTAACTTGGATGTCTACTGTTATGATTCTCTTATTTTATTTTTTTAACTCGAGACCTGTTTAATGTTGTGTTGCACATTTCCATTGCATTAGACATGTTAAGTTATGAGGGGTTCCCTGAACCCAAAAAGTTTGAGAACCCCTGCTCTACAAACTAGTGTTCTCTGGGTGCTCTAGTTTCTTCCCATAAAATGCAAACAAACATGTCAGGTTAATGGGTGAACTACATTGCACATAGGTGAGGTTGTTTTTTTTTTTTGTTTTGTTTTTGTGTCCGACTCTCTACATTGATGGAGCTGGGCACCAGCTAATCTGAAAAGTAATGACAGGTTTTTATTTTTTTTGTTAAATACATTAACAGGACCAAATCAAAATGAAAAATTCTGAGTGCTACAGATTTTTGTTTTTGTTTGTGTATTACAGACTAATGTGTTTAAATATATTATCCTTTTTTAATGTTTTATAACTGACGAGTAATGAACTCCAAATTTAGTATCTCCGGTTTTTTTTTTTTTTTTTTTTTTTATATATTGTGAAAAGGTTCAATAGAAGACACTTGGTGCCACACTCTTAACCAGCTAAGTAAAACGCTTTCAAATGCCTTCAAATGGTCTTAGTTCTGTAGGCTGCATAATCATGAGGATGACTGCTGCCTTGACAGTTGTCCAAAATACGACCGTTGACATCTTGCACAAAGTGGCAAGACGTGTCATTGCTAAAAAGGCTGGCTGTTCACAGAGCTGTGTCCAAGCACATTGGTAGAAAGAAGGGGAGGAAAAGATGTGGTAGAAAAGTATACAAACAATAGGGATAACTGCACCCTGGAGAGGATGGTGAAACAAAACCCATTCCATAATGTGAGGGAGATTCAAAGAGTGGACTGCAGCTGTAAATGGTTCAAGAACCACCACACACGGATGTATGCAAGACATGAGCTTCAACTGTTTCATTCCTTGTCAAGCCACTCTTGAACAAGAGTCTGTCAATTAAATTCAATTTATTTAGCACTAAATCAATTCTCTCAGGGCACTTTACAGAAACCTTCACACACATAAAAGCCAATTAGTAAAGTTCTCTAAGGAATGCAGCAGACGAGTTGAATCTTGACTTTGAGCAAGCACAGTGGAAAGGGAAAAACTCAAATTTTAAATGAAAGCCTCCAGCAGAACCAGACTCAGGACAAGTGGCCATCTGCTTTGACCGGCTGGTTTGAGAGGACAGGAAGGGGAGACAGACGAACACAGAATGGTAGATCCAGGTGTATCTGAAAGACAAAAGTTAAAGATGGAAAAAATGATTACAAATGTTGAGCAAAGTAGAGACAGTAGCAGTGAAAAGTGTGGTCCATTTGTCCTCCAGCAGTCCAAGCCTATAGCAGCATAACTAAGGGACAGCTCAGGAAACCCAAGCCGACCCCAACTATAATCTCCAAACTAGTTTAAGGGCCATGGTATCCCTGTTTTGGCCCACACTCACCTGACCGTAACCCCATATAAAATCTATGGAGCATTGTGAAGAGAAAGATGTGATCGTCCAGACCCAACGATTCAGAAGAGTTGTATATCAGAACAACCTAGGCTCATAACACCTGAGCAGTGCCATAAACTGACTCCATGCCACGCCACACTGTTGCAGTAATTCAGGCAAAAGGAGCCCAAACTGAGTGCTGTACATGTTCATACTTTTCAGTTGGCCAACATTTCTAAAAACATTTTATTATTGGTCTTAATATTCTAATTTTCTGTGATAATGAATTTGGGGTTTTCATTAGTTGTCAGTTATAATCAACATTAAAATAAACATTTGAAATATAATATGTAAGTTTCACTTTGTGAATGGAATTACTGAAATAAAGCAACTTTTTCACGATATTCCAATTTCATGACCAGCACCCGTAGTTGTGGCTACAGATGCTATTCAGAATTACTTTGGTGCATTTTTCTTATCAGTCGAGCCGTTTGGAGCAGCATCGATTTTTAAATGTAGTTCTGGCTTCCCTAAACTGAAACTAAATTTACTTCAATAACTACAATTATTGTACTTTTGTGGTTCTATTTAAAATATCCAGGGTGTTGCTCCTTAATTAGTTGTGGTTTTTCAGTAAAATAGTTGGTTGATGTTTGAGGTATTAGAAAATTAAGTCCTGCAGATATTTGCTCTGTCAGAAGGGTAAACTTTTTTTTTAAATATTTATTTCAATTTAAACTTCTTAAACCTGTGTCCTCAGTAGGACAATGTTTTCCATGTGTCATTGTTGCGTCCCGGCTCGTTTTGGAGGCAACATAAATGACATGACAAAAGTTTGTGTAAAAAAATAATAATGTGACCATTTGATTTTGGCTGAGTTTACAAAATACTAAACAAAAATCACAGCAATAGCTGACATTCTTCATACAATTTAAGTCAAACAAGAACACTTCTGGTTCTGAACAATGACTCAGCTATTTAAAACAAAATTGAAAATTCCAAGCCAAACAAAATATAGCAACCCAACTAACAATGGTCAAACTAACAAGTGGCTCCACAATGAGAAATAAATCTCCAACCAGACAAATGTCTTTGCTACACAAGCCACAGTCTTTCAGAACCAATAAGACAAAGCAAGACACAGTCTGAAACAATTTATCTGCACCACCAAAAGTTGGCACACTGCACACCAAGCACAGCAGCAATGATTGAAGGGCAGGGCTGACTTTTATGATCTTCTTCCTCCTCCTGGCCTCTTCATTGGCAGTCGCTGGTGGATGGGTGGTGCTGTCCAAACCTCCTTTGGCCAATCATCTTTGGACAGGTGAGTCTTGAGGGCTTGGTCAAAAGTTCACCAGTAGAGGGGGGGCAACGAGCCAGCAGCAACCAGGCATTACAGAAAAGAAAACTGCAAAACTACAAAAGAAGAAAGGCAGTACAGGCCTGAGGCCGTAACAGTCATATTCTAACAAATGTTTATCTAGGGCAAATTTTTCTTTTTTCTTATCAATGCTCAATGTGGTTTTTTTAATTGCCAAGTATCTGCTTAACAAAATAGCCAGGGAATAAAAAAAAATAATAATAAAATTGATCCCAGTTGAAAATGAGTTGGAGGCAGTTAAACAGTTTACCAGAAAATGCTACATAAACTCATTTACAGGTGCCCTGGCCAAAAACTCTTGAAAAGGAGTCCTCGTGACTCAGTGAGACCAACCTGCATAAATTAAGTTTGAACAAATGGAGAAAAATGAAGAAAACTGGTAAAACAATTTCATATATATAAAAAAAAAAAAAACTGTCCATCTACAAAAAGCTTAAATATTTTGGTCTGAGTAGAATAATAAAAATGGGGTTCCCTCACTAGGGGTCTACAAAGGAACAAACAGGATAGCTCACCAGAAGGCTACAAAGAACAAATCAAATCCATTTAAAGTGAGACACTCGTTCCACCCCTTCAGGTACGCTCCCCATGTATCATTGACTTAATGGCTTGAACTACAGTCAAGCTAATGGAAGGGAGGGGACATAAGTTTTGAAAGTTTTTCCTATTTAAATAGCTATGCTTCCGTTTTCTTTATCAATTAACAATGTAGTTTCTTTAGATTATTTACTGAGGGGGACAATCTTTATTTTTCCAATATTGGGTGGGCTCGTGACCCACCCCTGGGGATTTCCACCCAAGAACCTGATGTTGGTCTCAATACTCTGAAACATGTTAAACAAAACCTTCATTTTTAGAATCAACTGAGTTTGATCCATCCATCCATCCATCCATCCATCCATTTTCTTTACCCGCTTATTCCATTTTGGGTCATGGGGGTCGCTGCCCGTCCAGCAATCACTGTGCGAGGGGCGGTGTACACCCTGGACGGGTCGCAAGTCCATCACAGGGACACATAGAGACAAACGAGACAAACAACCATTCACTCTCTCACTCACACCTAGGGACAATTTTAGAGTTGCCAATCAGCCTAACATGCATGTTTTTTGGTCTGTGGGAGGAAATCGGAGTACCCGGAGAATACCCACGCATGCATGGAGAGAACATGCAAACTCCACCCACAAAGGCCCCTGGACCGGGGTTTGAACCAAGGACCTGCTCGCTGAGAGGCAGCAGCTCTACCAGTTGTGCCACCACCGGCTGAGTTTGATCCTGTTAAGTTGATTCATTTCCTTTTCGATGTGTACATTTTTATTAAAAAAAATTACTAGTACAGTTTAAAATGGGAAGTTTCTTTTAAAATTAACACGATTCACACTTTAGCAACATAAACAAATTGGTGTGTTGAACATGACTGACAATACAAGACAATTTGTTGTAGAGGTATCAACTATTATTAAATCTAACTTTCCACGAGAAAGAAAATTAAGGGACTTTCCATTCAAATGACTCATATTACACCAGAATGGTTCTTCTCAGTGTTTCAGTTTAGAAATTTCACAAAATCAAAGATTACAAGTTAAATGTGCATAAAGAGACGACCCTTTTAAAATGTAGTTTAGGACGGCAACAGTGTGTAACTTTTTACTTAGTCATTTTTTTTTTAAAATATCTGAATACATTTAGCCATTTCAGCAGTTTTTTTTTTTTTTTTTTTTTCTGCAGAAAACAAATTCTCAGTTAGCAAAACAAAAC